AACATTTAGAGATTTTAGGTTTCCATTCATTCATTGTTGCACTAGGACAAACCTGTTTATTCTCCTAACAGTCCATGGTATATTCAATACTCTTCTCCAGCACCACAGCTCAAAGGCATCAATTCTCTATCATCCCTAGTCACTGTCCAACTCTTCAATGCATAGCACGTAATTGCAAACATCATAACCTGGATCAGGCGCATCTAAGTCTCCAGCCTGACATCGTTGCTCTTCAGTACTCTTGAGAGGTCCTGTTCAGTGTATTCCACACTCTGTTGGATCATGTTTCTTGGGAATGGTGACAAATATGAATCTCTTCCCGTCAGTTGACCAGGTGGCTATCTTCCAAATTCCCTGGCACAACCAGGTAAGCACATCCCAAGCTGTATTTGTTGGTTGGAATATTTCCAATGCCTTCAAAGTAGCTTGAATTTCTTCCTTCATTACTTCCACTGTCTGAAACTTGTGCGGTAAATAAGTATAACAAAACAACTGATGTCTTTGAACTGTTTTGCTGGATAAAAATACCCCATGGACTGTTGAAAGAACAAACAAGTCCATCTTGGAAGGACAACCAGATTGTTCCATAGAGTCACAGTTGGTGAAATTTCATCTCACATACATTTGACATGTTGTCAAGAGGGGAGCCAGTCCTTGCAAAAAGATATCACGCTGGGAAAGATGGAGGGCCAGCAAAATAAAAGAAAACCCTCAACATGATGGATTGACCCAGTGACTGTAACAATAGGTTTAAGTATACTAGATTTGATGAGGACAGCATAAGGTAGGATGAAATCTTAAGTTTCTCCAGTTATTCAACTGCTGAACTTCAGCAATTTGGTTCCTCAAGTCTCAATTTCCTTACCAATATAATAAGTGTCAGAATAGTACCTATAGCATCAGTTCCAGTGAATTAAACAAGATATTACATATAAAATGTCTGGTACAGTGTTGGAGTAAAGCAGAATATTATTTCCGAGGATGAATTACTGTTGTTATGTGTCAATGAGGGGGAACTGACTTATAGCTGAATCGCCAATAGGTTTTTGCAGGCTGTAAATGGAACAGGAAAAGACAGTTCCTATTTCTCCCTTGGTGCCAATGGTGGAGTCAATCTCCCTGCCTTAGGGGTGCCTCTCGGCCACCACTGATTCCTATATATATTTCATTGCACATTCATGACAAATCCTTATCCTGATTTACAGGTTCAACTTACTTCAATTAACAGGTCACTGTTAATTCAGTGAGGGAGGTCTGCAGGATACATGTCATGCGGTTACTAAAAGACTGAGGGTTCAAATCCACTAGCAACTCTGCATAATAAAGATAAGCAGCCTTGGAAAATCAGTGGAAGGTCGCTGTTTGACTTGACAACAGAAAAGTTGTATTTTTAGCTTCTTAAACCAATTAAGAAAATAACAAGTATGTGTGTGCATGTGTCTGTGTGTGTGTAAAGAGAAAAAAAATGCTGCTGCTGTTGTTCATTTCCATTAAGTTAATTCTGACTCAGGTATAAAATATAGCTGGTCCACAGGGATTTCAAGACAATGACCTTCTGGAAGCAGATTCCCAGATTTAACCAATATGGCATCTCAGGTACGTCGCAACTGTCACATGTTCACTTAATCAAATGTCTAACCATTTGTGATATCTACTATGTGACACACAGATACATACCACAATATCCGAACATATCAGATTGTGCTGCAATTCCCAAGGTTGGGGTTCAAATCCACCAGCTACTCTGGGGTAGAAGGATGGGCAATTCCCTCTTGTGCAGTTTACTGCCTCTGAAAACCCGCTGGAGGGTTAGCTATTGAGTCAGTGCTGACTCAAAGGCACACAATATATATCAATTAAACTAAGGTCCTTGGGTTATACACAAATGGGTTGTGCTAGGCTTCTAACCTAAGAATATAAACAAGAAAATCCTATAAAGTAATTCTATTTTATTATACATGAGATTGCCATGAGTCAGAATCAATTTGACAGCAACAGGTTTGGGGTGTGTTTTGACGTTTTTAGTTGCCACTGAATGATTCTGACTCATGATTAACTCATGTGCTTAGACCAGAACAGCTCCACTGGCTTTTTAAGACTGACTTTTTAAGAGCTGATCACTATGTCTTTCTCTCAAAGTATTACTGGCTGGATTCAAATCATTAACCTTTCACCTAATAGGTCAGTGCTTAAAATTTGTGCCATCCAGGACACAATGGGAGGGCGTACGTGTGCGAGTGTGGGTTTGTGTGTACAAAACAAGTCTTTAGTAGAAGAAATGCCTAATATTTACTGGAATTTCAAATTTGAAAGAATCTTTCTCTTCTCTGACATTGAGGTATACCTCTCATAAATTTCTAGAGCAAAGTATATATTGCTGAGACTTGCTCATCTTTATGTCAAAAATGAATAAAACATTACTCTGAATAGTAATAACTGCTGTAATGTTTTCTCCTTTCTTAATTTATATGTGCAGTAGTCTTTAATGATAGAGCATATAACTCTTCTAGCCAATCCAGAGACAAAAAGATTCAATTATTCCCCAGATCTTTAAGCAGTTGCATATTCCCCCATATATCAGAATTTCATTACTGCAGAAACAGATAAAAAGACAGCATAGTGTAAAAGACCTTATGATCAATAATCAGGAAGTCCAAGGATCTGAGGAAAATACATAAAAATCCATTAAGCCTTGTAATATACAGCTTCATTATTGCTAAGCAGAAGGCTGTCACATTTTAAACAAAATACAAAGCCTTCCTTCTAATAAAATAGGAATAGAAACATCTGTAAAGCTCTACATCAAAAATGAAAATACAGATTCATAATTAATATGTCCTATCAATGAATGATTGAAATTGGCATTATTCTTTAAGAAAACAAGCAGCCTTTTATTTATATGATATACACATGGTTTTCAAATTTACATTCTGAAATTCCAGATAAGCATCTTTAATTTAGTAGAACATACATCAAAAGTTTTTTATTTGTTCACAAATAAGTACTAACAAAACCTATATTTCTTTGACATATATGCCCCAAATGAGTAAAAACCTTCACTCCATATCCTCATTGTCTTTTTTTAGTTTTGCTCCCCTACAAAAGATATTAGATTACTAAAAGGATAAAAAAATATGGAAAATAATACAGAACTGAGTTCTTTTCAACTGGAAATAATCAGCACACAGTAGTTCACTATAACTACTTCGGTTGTCTTTGGTTTTAAAGAAAAAAAAGTTTTAAAATTCAAGTTACATCATCATCATCACCAAGTTTTCCTCTTTAGTAAATTCTCAAAACACCAAGAAAACTTATATAGATACTATTATATACAATCACTAAAGATCTTAATATTGATCCTGAATGAGTGAAAAACTAAAATGCCATGTTAAAGGTTATACAACATTGTCAGGAAATACACAATATATTTCATATAAATTGTACTGTGTGCTATATACCATGTTGATAGTTATTATGGATATTCTAAATGGTATTTTATTTAATTAAAAGTTAATAAACCCAAAGCTGTTTTCCAACTACTCAAAATAAGCTTAGATGAGGTTTGCTGTGTGTATGATGAAAAGAGTTTACAAATGATTCTGTGTGTTACACTGAAGAGGGCCATGGTGGGGTAAGGATGATGTCTTTGTTTTCTCCTTCAAAACAATTTTGCTGGCATCGGAACAGTTAATAGAAAGGAAGGCGGTCATAATCCCAGGTCTGGAATGAACACCCTGTTTGTACCAATCACTGTCTAGCTACCACTGCTCCTTTTGTGGCAGAGTTAGACCCTTACAAAGAAGTGATTCTTTGACTGAATAGCAACAGCCTATACTCAACACATGATGAGAAATAAGATTTTTAAATTATTTGAATGGATTTAGCTCTTGATGGTATTCAATGAAAAGACAATGGCTAGTTAGAAAACATTAGCATTACAGATGTCTCAAATAAGGAAACTTTCCTTAACACGTAAACTTCTATGAAAATAATGAATTCCTTACCTCTTATTTTAATTACCAAAAGATAATGAAGAAAAAGAATTGATTAGAAAACTAAACTAATGCACTTCCTTGGGTTTCTTTTCTTGGTTATTGGAGTCAAAGTATTTGTTTCACATTCTTATTTTTCAGGACAAGATCAATCCAAAGCCTAAATCATTTTGCAAACTGGAGTCTTTTTATCCCTTTCATCACTCCCCATTATACATATTTTGGCTTGAATGCTTAGGAAGTAGCAAAGCTTCAAACTTAGGGAGTAATGAAATAAGCCAAAGAAACCAACAAGAAATTCTTCAAATGACAGTCTAAGGACATGCAAGGTGCAGTATCACTTTATCTCCCTGAAATGCAGAAGATTTCATTAAAGAAAATATAAAGACAAGTGAGAGTGGAGGGGATGTCAGAGGAAAAAAATGCAGCAGACTACCCAGGTGAGGTGGAGATGGGAGTGTCAGAAGAGACAGGGTAGCAGAGTGACGCAGCGAAGGCGGTCACCTGTGGGGCCACTGGATCCAGCCCCGCCCCCAGGGATAGTAGGAATATTGTAGCCCGTGAGCCCCTAAAGACGCCAGGGAAACGTAAGCGGGGCCCTTCTGGCTCAGTCTGATACTCACCATCCACGGTTTTCTTCTTGAAGAGGGACGCCATGGTCAGGAACCACACCCCAGTGGCCCAATTCGGCCCGGTTCGGCCCGCAGCTGGGAAAAGAGTAGTGGCAAAGAATAGGCCTTTGGAGGTTTCGAGGTGGCGGAGGGGACAAGCAAGCAGAGATGGTGAGGTGACGAGAAACGACGCGAGGAGGGCTGGTATCTGCAAAACTACCGCAGCCGCGTAGCCGAGGAGCTCAGGTGACCGGGAACTAAGGCACTTTTTGGAGAAGTCACTTCTCGGCGGCGCCTGCGCGGTGTGCGCGCGCGCGCCTGCGCACTGGGACCTGTGAAGGCGCCACCTCTGCCCTCACTTCTGCTGCTGGGTCACGGCGGCGAGAGTCCGAGCGTTTCCGTGTTTAGGAGAACCGGGAGAAGACGGCCAGTCAGTTTTCGGGTGCTGCTGTACATCCTTTCCGTTGTGATTGCTGACTGAGGTGACCCCGGGTTTGCACTTGCTTGTTTACCTGAGGGAACCTGACATTAGGGGACCCCTGTATCCAAAGATACAACGTGGGTCATCTGGAACCAATTGGATCCACTCGGAGTTGATTTACGACAATCCTGGCACTGCCGATGTTAATACTGCGAAGCGACTACTGTTAAATATTGAGTCGGTACCCAGAGTTCACATTCTTTTCGTCCCGCATTTTGTCAGCTGCAGTCCTAGCCAGGCGGTGACAACCTAGCGCCCTGGGTCTTGGGGTGGGCCGGGGTGGGGGGTGGAGGGGGAGTTGAGGTGGGGAGAACCTGTGTCAAATGTTGAGGACGGTAATCAAAAAGGGGATGGAGAGCAATTTTCTTTTTGCGATACTTTTTTTTTAGTATTCCTCAAACTGTAGAGAAAAATTGGGTATACGGTTTTAAAATTTTACTCTTTAAAATTTTGTTTCCCTGTTATTATTAATGCAAGCATGTCCTGTGAACATATGTCATGCTACACAACTGTATGCTGGTGTTCAATGTGAAGAGAGCTCCAGATTATGCTAAAGGAAAAGCACAATTAATTATGTAAACAATCCTTGTGTTTATAAGCATACATATGGGAGAGTGGGAAACTCTCCATTTCAAGTTCAGTATATGTGTTTGTGTTTATGTTCGTATGTTAAATATGTTATTTCACTGTTCCACAACTCTTCCACTTTAGAAAACAGTGCTTTCCACAGGGTGAAAATTGTAGTATTTATTTCACAGATGCTACTACTTCTATTTGCTTTACTGAAGTAACTTGGAGTTACTGTAATGATGGACAGATGTACCACAGGTGTGTTAAACACCATAATTAGCCACCCATCATGGGCAGTGTTTGGGGGAGCTCCCAGATTGATTCAGATTTGGAAACGAGGGCATCCACTTCCTAACCCACATGCCTCTGGAAACTATGAACTTGGAGAAACGATGATAATTATAGAAAGGCTTCAGGTCTTTTGTTCATAGGGTCACTATGAGTCATGCTCGACTTGATGGCAATCAACAACACAGCTACTGCAGGGATAGAGACTTTAATAAACAATGGTGTCAATATTATGGATTTTAAAATGATAGCTCAATGATTGTGGGGTTTTTTACCTATTTTAAGTAATGAAGCATCCTTCCCCTATAATAATTCTAGACAACAGAGCCACAGTAATGTTTCTATTTCTAAAATTTAAGTAAAGTTGACTCATAGAACTCTTTCTCAGGATGTGCAAGATGTAATTGTCTTACTTCTCAAGTTATCCTAGGTTGAAAGGTAAAGTGACGAAGCACTAAGAAAAATAAAAGTAAGGAAACAGTTTGTATGTTAAGGCCTGGCCTTTCCGGGAGTTGGCTCCAAGACAAAAAAAAAAAAACAAAACACAAAAAAACGATCTGCCCTGGCTTCCTGTTCCTGGCTGTTATAATGAATGGCATAGAGCTGTGTGTGAATGCATGTGAGGCAATAAGCTATTATGTGTATAGTAATCTACTCCTCCCTGCTGCAGCCACCCTTGTTTTATTACTCCTACACAATCCCCCCTACTGACCCAATTGTAACAGTTGGGAAAATGCCAAAATACTTAACAGCAACCATATGGAAAATCCTCCAAAAGTGCACAGCAGGAGCTGAAGGCAAAGGCTTGTTCATTACAATAAAGACAAAATAGAAATAAGTACTATTTAAATCAAGCAGTTTAATAGCTTGATTGTTCTATAGTTTGAAGGCAACTTGTATTCTGATAATACATCAAGCTGGAGGCCTTTCATTCAGATTAGTTGTTAGCCAAACTATATCAGTTTAGCCATTTAATGTCACTTATTGGAAGGAGATCTGTACTTAATAATAGTTAATATTTGACCACACCTAGAACTATAAATGAAAATGAAGGTATATTTCATTTGGTTAGAACTATTGTTGTGTACTATTGAGTTGGGACCAAATAATAGTTAACTCTCCAGCAGATTTTCAGAGACAGGGAATCTTATGGGAGGAGATTGCCCATCTTTCTCCTGCAAAGCAACTGAAAGGTTCAAACTGCAGGATTAACAGCATGATTCCTTACACTAAAGCACCAGAACCCACAACTGACATTGCCCCATATAAAGTGATCAGTCACTCACTCATTGCCACTTCATAGCTGACCTTCCAGTAGATTTGCAGAAGCTGTAAATTCCACAGGAGAAGACTGCCCATCTTTCTCCCACATGATTCTATCATGTGATTTAAACACTATAAACCTGTTGGAGGGTCAGCTATGAGTCAGTACAGTACAGCACAGGATGATGATGCTGATTTCTTATTTTAATTGCATTAATAATTAAACTGATTATGTTATTACAATTAGACAGTTTTTTTGTTCCAGCGGTGTTGTAACTTATTTAGCATGTACTTAGTAAGGGGAACCACACTAATGTAGTGAGCACAAACCAGTGGCGAAAACAAAAAGAGTTCATCCACTCTTTTTTCTTATCCACTTCCCAGTTTTCTATCTTCTCACTCTGGTGGCCTAGTCCACAGGGAATTGGGTTGCTATTCACAACACATCTCTGAATGGATGCACCATTCTGACAATTCTAATTCAATTGCAACCCTGTGGAAGAGAAGTAATCAATCTCTTCCTGTGTAATTTATAATCTCTTATTGGAGAAAACGATTTAGTATACCATGGACTACCAACAGAACAAACCCATGTCTTGGATGAAGGGCAGCCAGAATAAGTTTTAGAAGAGGACAACACTCAATGAAATGGTTTGACACGGTGGCTACAACTGTGGGTGTTAACATAGCAAAGGGTATTGTGTTTTATTCTGTTTATACATAAAGTCACTGTATGCCAGAGCTGGTTGAACAGAACCTAACAACAATTTAAATTGTCCTAATTCAAACAAATTTAGTTTTTCTTCTAGATTTTTCTAATACCATGTATTCCTGCTGACATCTTGTTCCATATGCATAGTCAGCTGAGTGAGCCTATGAAAATGTGGATTTTATTGTGCTAGTTAGTCTCTTTCTCAAACTACAGTGTATATGTATGGTTGCATGAAATACAGTGCAAATGAAGGATTATAGAAAACACAGCATATATATGAGTGAAACACAATGTAAAGTATTTATTCCAACCAATTAAAATATATATATATATTTATATATATATATGTGTGTGTGTGTGTGTGTATATATTTGGAATCCGTGAGACTGGCTCAGGACAGGGCAGACTTCAGAGCTTTTGTTCAAAGGGTCTGTGTAATTCTCAGGTGACTCGATGGCACATAACAACAGCATTCTCAATAGCTATTTTTGCATCTTGTATTTACACATATCTGTTCTGCAGGTTAAATTCCAGTTACTAATTCACTAAGAATCTCTGGTGGCACAGTGATTACAACATTCTCTGACTAACCACCAGCTGCCCTGTAGAAGAAAGATGAAAATTCCATGAGGCAGTTCTCTGACTGCCAGGGTCACTGTGAGTTTGAATTGACTCAACAACAGTGGATTTAGTTTTTGTTATTTGATATGTATTCATTAACACATTCCAATTTCTACAATCTAGGTTGTCCTATTATTTCCTTTTACTGTGTGCCACCTAGGTGGAACTTAATCTTTAGATGTGACCTATGATGAACACTATGCAATTATTACTTCCTTTGCTTTGTACAGTATACTTCTGATAACACTTTCTAAGAGTAAATTAACATTTTTAACGTATTTCTTTGAATGACATCTATAAAGAGAGTGTGGCCGGCTAGGAGCAAAGATGTCTGACCTCCAGTAGCTCCACAAAGGGAACAATACCCATTAACAGCACAAAACATACTCCTGTGAGTTCAGACTTGTCTTCATGTGCCTGTTATTTTCCTCTGTTAATTCTAACCCACCATTACTCCCAGGATTCCCACTACTCCTCTATTGAGTTCACTAATCTGTTGCAGTGGGTATACAGAACTCACAGACTAAACTCTTGATTGTATAGTTTATTAGCAAGTTGTTTTTAGGTACCATTGAGCAGAGTACAACCCATAGGGACCCAGTGAAAAACAGATCTGAACTCTATCCTATCTTGTGCCATCCTCACAAACTGACATACTTGAGCCCATTGTTGCACTCATTATGTCAGTCCTTCTAGTTGTGAGTCTTTTTTTTTTACCAACCTTCCACCTTTCCAAGATTGATGTCCCTAAGATTAGCCTTTTCTAGCAACATGTCCAAAGTATGTGAGACAAAGCTTTATCATCTTTTCCTCCGAGGAGCACTCTAGCTGCATGCACTTCTCCAAGAATTGTTAGCCATAACTTGGTATAATCTTCACAGTTAAATGTCTTTGCATTGCCAATAAAGCACAAAAAGCCATCAAGTCCAGTACTATTCATAGCGACCCTGTGAACAGCCAACCTGAACCCTGCCCTGTCTTTACAATTCATTAGCATATAATTTTCTAGTTAGGACAACTCAGGCATACTCAAAAGCTATCTGACCATCACCCTTTGAGCTCTGGGCCAGTCTTAGCTCTTTTAGTCCTGCCAGTTAGGGTACCTACCACCAAGGCTGGATTTTTGGGGAGGAACTTATTTTAGTTTTAGCATTGTTTCATATTAGTTTCTGGTTCTCCACCATTGCTGCTGCTGCTGCTGCAGTCATAATCCTGCACAGGAACCTCTAGTCCCAAAGAATGAGCTAATTCTCCACACTGTACTCTCCACATCTCCTTTCTTGATGTTCTTTTTTGTCTACCTCTGAACTTGCTCAATTTAAGCTTCATA